AGCTGAGATCCGGCCACTGCACTCCAGCCTGGGTGACAGAGCGAGACTCCGTCTCAAAAAAAAAAAAAGAGAGATTACAAAAAGAAAAGAGGGATGGAGACTACCAACTTTTCTATACTTTATATTTTCTCTTGGTTGATCCCTGTCTACATAAATTTCTTTCAGTCTGTATTTCTCCTTGTTAACAAGAAGTGGTTAAAACTCCAAAACTGGCCGGGTGCCGTGGCTCACACCTGTAAATACCAGCACTTTGGGAGGCCGAGATGGGAGGATCACAAGGTCAAGAGTTTGAGACTATCCTGGCTAACACAGTGAAACCCCATCTCTACTAAAATGATAATAATAATACAAAAAATTAGCTGGACATGGTGGCATGTGCCTGTAGTCCTAGCTACTTGGGGGGCTGAGGCAGGAGAATCGCTTGAACCTGGGAGGCAGAGGTTGCAGTAAGCTGAGATCACGCCATTGCACTCCAACCTGGGCGACAGAGTGAGACTCCATCACAAAACAAAACAAAACAAAACAAAACAAAACAAAAACTCAAAAATCATGCCTGTCAATTGTTGGGGATAAAAGAAAAATAAAAACCTCTAAGATCATATTTTAAGTCATTTAGATTGCTAATAATTGTTTTCACTTGCCACAAGGTGTAAACAAGTTGCTTTTCATTTTCGTTGTTTTAGACCCAGCTTGACCAATAATTGAGCAATAAAAGCTATTCTTGCAGGGATTTATTTTATTTTATTTTATTTTTTTAGACGAAGTCTCACTCTGTTGCCCAAGCTAGAGTGCAATGGCTCAATCTCAGCTCGCTGCAACCTCTGCCTCCTATGTTCAAGCGATTCTCTTCCCTCAGCCTCCCCAGTAGCTGGGATTACCGGCACCCGCCGCCACACCCAGCTAATTTTTATATCTTTAGTAGAGACAGGGTTTCACCATCTTGGCCAGGCTGGTCTCGAACTCCTGACCTCAGGTGATCCGCCTGCCTTGGCCTCCCAAAGTTTTGGGATTACAGGCATGAGCCATTGCGCCCAGCCTGTTTTGCTTTGTTTTTGCATGTCCAAGAAGGATGAATTCTTCATTTGTCTCAAGGAGATCAAATCTACACTTTGTAACATCCTTGACTTCTGGCTCTTGAATTAAAACAGAGAACTCAGATTAGGAAATAGTCATTGACTGCTATTTTAGAAAGAAAATCACTATCCAAAATGATTTTTTTGGGCAATATTATTTTAGAAATATCAAGCTGCTTCATATTTTGATAAGAACAATAAAATCAGAGATGCCATGTGAAAGCCAGAAAAATGGAAAATTTTCAGTTACAAAAAAAGCAGGAAATAGTTTTAACTTGATTGAATTTTTTCTTCTAAGATTATTTAAGTGAAAAATAAACATTTTAATTTTAAGACAATCAGGAAATAAGATTCATCAGACAATTCTCTGTTCCAAGTGAGAGACTCCAATGGACCTTGACTTGGTTCAAAATCAGTTTTACTTGAGTTGGGCCAGTCTTGGTAAGATGTTCTTCTTATGGCATTAGCAGGGAAATTATAGAAGGAGAGTGTTACCTACCAGGTTTTCTTCACACAGTTCTCTGAACTGGTAGAATTTCTGGGCCATGAGAAGTTGAGCACTGCCCACTGCGGTTCGGATTTTTCCTAGAACTGAAAAGAGCAAACATACGAGAAATTTACACATCTTGCTTCATCGTTGAGATTTAGTCTGGTAAAGCAAAGAGGAAGTTATGCTGTAATAATTAGGGAAAATGGCACACACACACACTGAACACTCATGCCCACCCAGACAGCCCAATCACTGTTGTTACCCTGTTGGTCTATGTCACAGAGGCTCCTGGGTTAAAGTAATAAAATCAACTTGGAAAAACACATGCTCCTCCTGCATATTTCTTGGGAGCAATGGAGTTTTCCAGCACTGATGTTACCAAGAACTGGATGTTACCAAGAGAAGAGGCAAACAGTTGTTGCTTTTTTTTTTTTTTTTTTTAACTTCCTTTACCGCAAGGATGAATTTCAAGTGTTTACCAGTATAGTTTTGGATTGATGGAGTCAGCCGTCATGGTCGGCTGGCTTGTTTTTCTAATACAAGCCCAAACACAAGGAAAGCAACACTAAACTGGAGGGGGAATCTCTTGGCACTCACCATATCCCATCCATTTCCTTTCATATTTTTCCGGAGCTCAGCCACTGGTACTGTTAGGAAAGAGCTGTGACTGACTGAAGTATTTTCTAAGGAGTGAACATGTTCAGTCTGTTGCCTAGAAAACACCAAGGCCGTCCCAGCTTTTACACTCCACAGCCCAATCTTCCTGTTAACAACATAGGGCGAATTCCCTAGGCACCGTGCTGAAAATCGTCTCTGCAACAGGCTACTTCTTGTCTCCCCAGCAATCTAAGGCACCTTTCAGCTGCCGGCAGGCGTGCTCCGACAGAGCGGAGCTGCTCTCTGCTGAGCAATGCCCAGCTCTGCAGTGTCCCTGGGGCTCGCCTGCACACTTTGGGACTGGGTGCAGCTGCCCCGCTACCCACCAGGGTGTTCTCAACACGCCGTAATGGTCGGGAAGGAAGGGATCAAAAACTAAAGCAGGAGAACATCTCAGAAGAGCACTTGCCCCTCTGGAAATCTTTACAGGATTTAAGCAGTCCGGTTGTTGTGAATATACAGAGCCAGACACCCGAGTGGAATGAAGCCTTTCTCAACCTCATTCCCCACAAAGTCTGAGCGACAGAAATCGAAGAATAAGAAACTCCATTCTGGCCCAGGGTTTTCTAGCAATTTGCTCCTTTATTTGTTTTAAACTGCTAGGCTAGATAATGGTTTCTGCTGCACATTCTACGTAGGCATTACTCAACTATTTCAGCATTCCCACAAGTCACTCAGCGCATTTATATTTCCTCTAATATGTCACTAGCCACACCAAACAGCTCACAGGCAGATATCTGTCCCCTCCCTCCGTGATCTCGAGGGGTCTCCCTTGACAGCTGTCTAGCAGCAATTTCTTAGGCCTAAGTTCTGTTTTTCTGCTCTGCTTTTAAAATCTCTTGGAGTAGTTATCCTTTTCCTCTTTAACTAATAAATCAATTGTGCAAGACCTCCTCTCCTTTGCTTAACATCCCCAGAAAGGACAGCTTATGGAGACACAGGGCCTGAGTGGGCCAGAGTCCTCACCATCTACTGCCTGGACAAGTCACCATCTCTACTTTCCCATATGTAAAATGGGGCTAATGGTACCTATTTGGAGGGTTGTTGGGAAGGTTAAAAGCATTAGTGTATTTGAATTGCTTAGGGCTGTGTTGGATTTACAGTAGGCACTTAATAATTATTGGTTATTATCTAGGATCGGAAACCTCTACCTCTTCTATGGGTGTGCCCACTGTGAGAGCCACACTTGCCCTGGCTAGGAGAGAAGAGGAAAAACAAAGTCTGGATTATCTTAGGTGACTGGATATCTTGGTCTCCTGGGACAGGTATGTTCTCTGGTTGACCTCTTCCAGCTCTGAGAAGGTATATGGAGCAGGCACTTCCTAAGTGAGCATGCGGCTATAGCTAAGCTCTGAGGTTTATGGAAACCTCTCTGAATTATCTTGCTGAAGGGTAGGACTGTGAGACTGGCAAATCTCAGAATGAATCCTGGGAGGTTATGACCAGGGTACCTAGGTCTCCACTCTGATGGCTGGGTTCCACAGCTCCTGGGAGCTATCACAGAAACTCCAGCTATTCTGATTTACCTAAGAACTTTGAGCTGATGGTTCTCAATTACGTCTGATGCTTGAGCTATATAATAGACTCCCATAATAAAAGTCACTGAGTAAGACAGTGATTCTCAAAAGAGGAGACAGCACTGTTCTATTATTATTCTATATTATTCGGGCAACATGCAACCACATAAGTTAGGGCTAACTCAGATGTCTTCTCAAAAGTGAAACAAGGGACATCTTTCTTCATTCAGCATGGCCTGGCAAGAGCCCTGGCAAAGTATCTGGGGTGGAGTTGCGGCCCTTGGCCCTTCTGTTTCCCGGGCTTTTGCTGTCATGTTCCTTGCATGGAAATTCCCTACTGGCTCCGGGATACTTGCAATTCCTGTGTCCAGAAGATGACCTTTCCTAGGTCCTGGGTGGGGAGATGACTGCTTGGGCCTAGAATGAGATCATGAAACAGGGAGGCTTGGGAGAAGCAGATGACGGCTCATATTTCCTCGTCCTCCACACTTTCTTTTCCAGAGAACTAAAAACTCACTTTAATTTTAAGAAAGAAGCTGTAATGGAGGTTTTTTTTGTTTTGTTTGGTTTGGTTTTTTTCCACTAGACACTCTGTGTGTGTGAGGTAAGTTCTTTCTTCCAAAAGTAAATTTCACATTTGTTGCCCATGCCTTGAGGAAGTTGAAATTAATAAACAATAAATGGTAAACACCAGTAGAAGTAAAAAGTGGAAATAAAAAGGCTGAAAGTTGGTAAAGAAATGAAATGAAGAAGAAAGAAGCATCTCGATGTTGTTTTGAAACTACTCTAAAATGTTCAATACCAACCTTCAGGGCAGAAAAAAAAAATACAGTTGGCCCTCTGTATCCATGGGTTTTGCATCTGTGGGTTAAACCAACCTTGGGTCTCACCATGTGGCCCAGGCTGGTCTCGAACTCCTGGGCTTAAGCAGTCCTCTCACCTCAGCCTCCCAGAGTGCTGGGATTCCAGGTATGAGCCACCGCATCCTGCTGAGTTTGTTTTCTTTTTCCCTTTTCTCTCTCTCCTATGAAATGAAGCCCTACAGATAAAGTAAATGTTCTCCACTCCTATCCCATTCCTTTTTTTTTTTTTTAGATGGAATCTCGCTCTGTCGCCCAGGCTGGAGTGCAGTGGTGTGACCTAGGCTCACTGCAAGCTCCATCTCCCAGGTTCATGCCATTCTCCTGGCTCAGCCTCCCGAGTAGCTGGGACTACAGGCGCCACCACACCAGACTAATTTTTTTTGTATTTTTTGGAAGAGACGGGGGTTTCACAGTTTTAGCCAGGATGGTCTTGATATCCTGACCTCATGATCCGCCCACCTCGGCCTCCCAAAGTGCTGGGATTACAGGCATGAGCCACCGCGCCCGGCCTATCCCATTCCTTTTCATCCCCAGAGGAAACCATTGCAGTAGAGAATGACTATTTCAGTCCCATCACTAAGTTCATAAGGTGTCTTTTCTGGTCCTGGAAAGGTGACAGCTAAGGGTCTTTTTGAGTGTTAGATTGGGGCAATGTCACTAGCACAGTTGAGACCCTGTAGCCAACAGCAGCAGATTTTCTCTGAAAGTTAGAATGGGGGTTTTAAAGCTCTATGGGTGTTGAGTTGATCTCTTTCACATTCTGGTTATGCTTTTTTTTTTTTTTTTTTACAGATTGTTCAAACCAGATGTGGTTAACAGTTTTTCCACCCATCTCCCTTAGGGTACATTCAAGTGCATCTTACAGAATAATTATCTCTGCTGTGTCACCCAGGCAAGCCATGTAACCATGATTCATACCATATATTTGTGTAATACTTAATCAGACAGTAAGCCTTGTATTGCTGGGCAGTTCTTTTTATCTAAGTAAATCCAGCCTCCGCAGACACCGTATAGGCACCTGATGGTGAGGCTTATAGACTCTTCCCTTTCCTTTCCTTCCCCAGCTACTCTGTGAGTCTGTCCCACAGTGGAAGTACAGAACCAAACAGAAGACAGAGTTGAATGGAATTCCTCCTACTTAAGAAGTAAGCACTCTCTATAAACCCCCCACTTACAATTCTTCAAACCTCTTACTCCACAATAGATATTTAAAAAGACCCACAATAGAGAGGACAGCCCTGGGTTAGTGAATCACATGAAGTCAGGAAGAACTTTTGGGAGGCCTTGTGTTTACTTAAATGTGAATATGTGTTTACTTAAATTATCATCACTTGGTATTTCAAAACTCACAAACAGGCGTCTAATTAGATCCTCACAGGACCCTGCGAGGCAGAGCAGATAACTTCATTTGAGAAAACTTGTGCTCAAACTACAAAGTCTCTCCCCCAGGGACACCTGCTGTGGCCAGTCCCTATCTTCTGACCCCAGTCTAGTTGGGCTCTCTTCTCTCTACACTCACTGAAAATTGTGTCTGAATCTACTTAAGTAGAAGCTATCTGAGTGTGATTTCCTTCTTTTTTTCTCTCTCTCTACTGTGGTAAGAACACTTAACATGAAATCTACCCTCTTAACAAATATTTAAGTGCACAATACAGTTTTGTTAATGGTGGTGCAGTGTTGTACAGCAGATCTCGAGAACTTATTCACCTTGCATAACTTTAGATCCACTGAACAGAAATTCCCATTTCCCCCTCCCCCTAGACCCTGACACCCACCATTCCACTCTCTGTTTCTTGAGTTTGACTCTTTTAGATACCTCATATAAGCAGAATCATGCAGTATTTGTTCTCCAGTGACTGGCTTATTCCACTTAGCATATAGTCCTCCAGGTTCATCCATGTTGTTGCATATGGCAGAATTTCCTTATTTTTCAAAGCTGAATAGTATTTCATTGTATGTATATACCACATTCCATTTATCTACTGAGTGTGATTTCTATTTATTTGTTTATTTATTTATGAATGAGGTCTCACTATGTTGTCCAGGGTGGAGGACAGTGGCTATTCATAGGCATGATCATGGGGTACTATAGCCCTGAACTCCTTGCCATAGCCTTCTGAGCAGCTGGGACTGCAGGCATGAACCACTATGCCAGGTTGCATGTAATTTCTTTATCAACATTTCCCAGCCAGTGCCAATGGTTAGGGGTGAGTGGCGTAATAAGTCAGTGGGAGAGTTGGAAGGAATTCGCCAAGCCTGATCACTGTCCCACATTAGGAAGCAAGAGCCAGACCTGATCACTGTCCCACATTAGGAAGCAAGAGCCAGACCTGATCACTGTCCCACATTAGGAAGCAAGAGCCAGACCTGATCACTGTCCCACATTAGGAAGCAAGAGCAAACCACATCCATCCACCTGAAGTGACTGGCAGGCAAGGCAATTTCAATCCTGAAAAGAAGAGAGGAACCAAGGACACCTTGAAAGAGATGGTGGGTGTAAGTTTCAATTTCTGTTTTTCTTTTAAAGATTGTACGTCATAATGAGAAGCAGAGAACAACTATTTTGGCTGTGGAAAAGGGGAGTCTTTTATGCAAACTATGATTTGAAATCTCCGGACTACATTCAAAGACCCAGCCATTGAGAAGAGAGACACCTTCTCTTTCCCACTGACCTCTGTGGGATAGGTTGTGATTTTGAGAAAAGGAGGTAGTATAAGAGAAACAAGGATGAAGAGAAAAAACACTTTCTTTTAACCCTCCCAGTGGGTCTATGACAAAGCTGCAAGGAGTTTCAGTGTGCTGGTGATCTTTTTGCTGGGTTAAAATCAGGATTACAAATCCTTAAGCATAAGTAGCATATGTATCCTTTCCTATTTCAAGAGAAGTTAGGTCTCTAGAACTGAAAAGGCAGACGTGCTCATTTCTCTGACTGCTTCTTTTTTTTGTTTGTTTGAGACAAGAGTCTCACTCTGTCACCCAGGCTGGAGTGCAGTGGCACGACCTTGGCTCACTGCAACCTCCATCTCCTGGGTTCAAGTGATTCTCCTGCCTCAACCTCCCAAGTATCTGGGATTACAGGCATGAACCACTGCGCCTGGCCTCTCTGATTGCTTCTAATTCTTACATGATACTACACCTAACTTCACGATCATCAGACCTTACCTTCGGGCCTCAGAAACAGAGAAGAATAGACATATTTCTTATATCCTCAAAGTATGTTCCCTGAAGCCCAGATACGACAGACACCCCTGCAATGGATTACATCTGACAGGCTCCCCGTGGTGAAGGTTACGACGGTACATATGCTACATAGAACTTGTCACATTTTTCTGCCACCTACACTGTAATTCACCTAGTATGTTTCATTTTAGTCTAACTTTCTCTCTGGGCAATATAGGCATGCCTCAGACATATTGTGGGTTTAGTTCCAGACCACTACAATAAATGAATATCACAATAAAGTGAGTCACAGGAATTTTTTGTTTCCCAGTGCATATAAAAGTTATGTTTACACTATACTGTAGTCTGTTAAGTGTGCAATAGCATAATGTCAAAAAAAAAGTACCTAATACTTTATTGCTAAAAAATGCTAATGGTCATCTGAACCATCAGCAAGTCACAATCTTCTTGCTAAGGGAGGGCCTTGCCTCGATGTGGATGGCTGCTGTGATCAAGGTGGAAGTCGCTGAAGATAGGGGTGGCTATGGCAATATCTCTTTTTAAAATAAATTTTTTTTCATTTTTTATTTTTTGTAGAGACGGGATCTCGCTATGTTGCCCAGGCTGGTCTCAAGCTTCTGGCCTCAAGTGATCCTCTCATATTGGACTCTCAAACTGCTGGCATCACAGGTATGAGTCATTGCCCTGGCCGGCTGTGGCAATTTTAAAAATAAGACAGCAATGAAGTTTGCCGCATCAATTGACTTTTCCTTTCGTGAAAGATTTCTCTGTTGCAAACAATATTTGTTTGACAGCATTTTACCTACAGTAAAACTTTTTTCAAAATGGGAGTCAAGGGGCTGGGCGTGGTGGCTCACACCTGTAATCCCAGCACTTTGGGAGCCTGAGGCGGGCAGATTACCATCCTGGCTAACATGGTGAAACTCTGTCCCTACTAAAAAATAGAAAAAATTAGCCAGGTGTGGTGGCGGGCGCCTGTAGACCCAGCGACTCAGGAGGCTGAGGCAAGAGAATGGCGTGAACCCAGGAGGCGGAGCTTGCAGTGAGCCAAGATCATGCCACTGCCCTCCAGCCTGGGCAACAGAGCGAGACTCTGTCTCAAAAAAAAAAAACAACAAAAAAACAACTAGAGTCAAGGTTGGGAGTGGTGGCTCAGACCTGTAATCCCAGCATTTTGGGAGGCCAAGATAGGAGGATTACTTGAGCCCAGGAGTTCAAGACCAGCCTAGGCAACATGGCAAAACTCCATCTCTACTAAAAATATAAAAAATTAGTAGGCATGGTGGCATATTCCTGAAGTCCCAGTTGCTCAGGAGGCTGAGTTGGGCGGATCACCTGAGCCTGGGAAGTAGAGGCTGCAGTGAGCTGTGATTGTGCCACCGCACTCCAGTCTAGGCAACAGAGGAGACCCTGTCTCAAAAAAAAAAAAAAAAAAAAAATTGGAGTGAAAATCCTCTTGAAACTTGCCACTGTTTTATCAACAAAGTCGATGTAATATTCTAAATCCTTTTGTGGTCATTTCAACAGTGTTCACAGCATCTTCACCAAGAGTAGATTCCATCTCAAGAAACTATTTTCTTGGCTCATCCATAAGAAATAACTCCTCCTCTGTTCAAGTTTGATCATGAAATTATAGCAATTCAGTCACATTTACAGGCTTCACTTCTCATTCTAGTTCTCTTGCACTTTTTACCACATCTGTGGTTTCTTCCTCCACTGAAGTCTTGAACCCCTCGAAGTCATCTGCGAAGGTTGGAATCAACCTCTAAACTCCTGTTAATGTTATTTTGACTTTTTCCCATGAATCATAAATGTTCTTAATGGCATCTAGAATGACGATTCCGTTCCAGAAGGTTTTCTTTTTTTTTTTTTTAATTTTTAAATTATTTTTTCAAATTTTTGTGGGTGCATGGTGTATATATTTATGGGGTACATGAGATGTTTTGACACAAGCATGCAGTGTGACGTAAGCACATCATGGAGAATGGGGTATCCATCCCCTCAAGCATTTATCCTTTGGATTACAAATAATCCTCCAGAAGGTTTTCAATGGACTTTGCCCAGGTCCATCAGAGGACTCACTATCTATGGCAGATATAGCCTTATGGAATGTATTTTTAACTAAGAAGACTTGCAAGTCCAAATGACTCTTTGATCCATAGGCTGCAGAATGGATGTTGTATTCCTGTGTTTTCATGCTACTGATAAAGACATACCTGAGACTAGGTAATTTATAAAGGAGAGACGCTTAATGGACTCACAGTTCCACATGGCTGGGGAGGCTTCAGTCATCGTGGAAGGCGAAAGGCACGTCTTACATGGCGGTAGAGAAGAGAAAATGATGATAGACAAGCAAAAGGGGAAACTCCTTATAAAATCACCAGATCTCATGAGACTTATTCACTACCATGAGAACAGTATGGGGGAACCACCCCCATGATTTAATCATCTCCCACCAGGTCCTTCCCACAGCATGTGGAAATTATGGGAGCTACAATTCAAGATGAGATTTGGGTGGGGACACAACCAAACCAAATCAGATGTCATGTTTGCAGGCATGAAAACGACATTCATCTCCATGTACATCTCCATCAGAGCTCTTGGCTGACTAGGTGCATTGTCAATGAGCAGCAATATTGTGGAAGAAATCTTTTTTTCTGAGTCACAGGTCTCAACAGTGGGCTTAAAAGTGTTCAGTAAACCATGCTGTGAACAGAGATACTCTCATCTAGGCTCTGTTTTTTTTTTTTTTTTTTTTAAGACAGAGTCTGGCTCTGTCACCCAGGCTGGGGTGCAGTGGCGCGATCTCAGCTCACTGCAAGCTCTGCCTCCTGGGTTTACACCATTCTCCTGCCTCAGCCTCCCGAGTAGCTGGAACTACAGGCGCCCGCCACCACGCCCGGCTAGTTTTTTTTGTATTTTTTAGTAGAGACGGGGTTTCGCCGTGTTAGCCAGGATGGTCTCGATCTCCTGACCTCGTGATCCGCCCGTCTCGGCCTCCCAAAGTGCTGGGATTACAGGCTTGAGCCACCGCGCCCGGCTGCTCTGTTGTTTTACTTATAGAGCACACTTTATAAGAGCACACAAATTTAGCATAATTGTTAAGGGCCCTAGGTTTTTCAGAATGGTAAATGAGCATTGACTTCGACTTCAAGTCACCAGCTGCCTGAGCCCCTAACAGGAGAGTGAGCCTGTCCTTTGAAGCTATGAAAGGCCTACATGGCATCTCCTTCCGATAGAAGGCTGTTTGGTCTACATTGAAAATCTGTTGTTTAGTGTAATCATCTTCATCAATGATCTTAGCTAGATCTTCTGGATAACTTACTGCAGTTTCTCCATCAGCACTAGGAATTCACCTTGCATGTTTATATTACAGGGACAGTTTCTCTTTAAACTTCATGAACCAACATTTGCTAGCTTCAAACTTTTCTTCTTCAGCTTCCTCACTTCTCTCAGCTTTCATAGAATCGAAGAGAGTTGGCCAGGCGTGGTGGCTCATGACTGTAATCCCAGCACTTTGGGAGGCTGATGCGGGTGGATCACCTGAGGTCAAGAGGTCAAGACCAGCCTGACCAACATGGAGAAACCCCGTCTCTACTAAAAATACACAATTAGGCATGGTGGCGCATGCTTGTAATCCCAGCTACTTGGGAGGCTGAGGCAGAAGAATCACTTGAACCCGGGAGGCGGAGGTTGCAGTGAGCCGAGATCACGCCACTGCACTCCAGCCTGGACAAGACAGAAACTCCATCTCAAAAAAAAAAAAGAGAGATTTACAATGTCTCTCTGATTAAGCTTTGACTTAAGGGAATGTTGTGCCTGGTTTGTTCTTCTCTCCAGACCACTCAGACTTCATCCATATCAACAAAAAGGCTGTTTTGCTTCCTTATCATTTGTATGTTCACTTGGGTAGCACTTTTAACTTCAAGAAGTTTTCCTTTGCATTCACAACATGGCTATCTGGCACAAGAAGCCTAGCTTCTGGCTTATTTTGACTTTTGACATGCCTTAGTGACATGACTTATTGAGGAATCACTAAGCTTAATCATTTATTGCTTTTGATTAAAAGTGACAGATTGTGCCGGGCGCGGTGGCTCATGCCTGTAATCACAGCACTTTGGGAGGCCACGGCGGGCGGATCACAAGGTCAGGAGATCGAGACCACAGTGAAACCCCGTCTCTATTAAAAAAAAAAATACAAAAAATTAGCCGGGTACGGTGGCGGGTGCCTGTAGTCCCAGCTACTCAGGAGGCTGAGGCAGGAGAATGGCGTGAACCCGAGAAGTGAAGCTTGCAGTGAGCCGAGATCGTGCCACTGCACGCTAGCCTGGGCGACAGAGCGAGACTCCGTCTCAAAAAAAAAAAAAAAAAAAAAAAAAAGTGACAGATTGTAACTCTTCATTTGAACACATAGAGGCCATTATTGGGTTATTAATTGGCCTAATTTAAATATTATTGTGACTCAAGGCACAGGAAGGCCTGAGGAGAGGGAGAGAGACAGGGAAATGATGGGTCAGTGGAGCACTCAGAACATAAACACCATTTATTGATTAAGTTCACTGTCTTATATGGGCATGGTTCATGGAGCTCCAAAACAATTACAACAGTAACATCAAGGATCACTGACCACAAATCACCATAGGAGATATAATAGTAATGAAAACACTTGAAATATTGTGAGAATTACCAAAATCTGACACAAAAACAGAAAATGAGCATATGCTTTTGAAAAGATGGTGCTGACAGACTTGGTCAACTCAGTTTGCCACAAACCTTCAATTTGTTAAAAAAAAAAAATAAAAAGCAGTATCTTCAAAGTGCAATAAAGCAATGCCAATAAAATGAGGTATGCCTGTGTGTGGGAAAAAGTGTAGGTGTGGGGCCAGGAACAATCAGCTCACCAATTACCAGCTGTTGATCTTGGGAAAGTTGATCAGACTCAGACTCTTTTTCCTTTAATGGCCATAATATCATCTTCATAGCATTGCTGATTACTTAATGGAATAATATAGGTAAACGTGAGAATGCAGTAGGAATTATAACTCCTATAACTGATCTACATTCTTTAGTTCTTGGGTATTTACCTAAAAGGTGGCAGTATCCAAAAAACGACATGATTTCTCCTGCAAATCTTTACACTCCAACTTCTCTCTCCAGTAGTGTCAAATAATTTGATGTCCTTCTTTTTTGCTGGCTTTTATTCAGGCAGATTCTCACAAGTGTCACTGATTGGTGAATAATTTCTTTTTTTATGTGTATAAGAAATCCATTCAAGACCAGCCTGACCAACATAGAGAAACCCCATCTCTACTAAAAGTACACAATTAGCCGGGTGTGGTGGCACATGCCTGTAATCCCACCTGCTTGGGAGGCTGAGGCAGGAGAATTGCTTGAACCCAGCAGGCGGAAGTTGCGGTGAACTGGAGATCGTGCCACTGCACTCTAGCCTGGGCAACAAGAGCAAAACTCCGTCTCAAAAAAAAAAAAAAAAAAAAAACAAGAAATCCAAAACAATTTTTCAGGGGCTCAGATTGTAGTGCCTCTCTGTATAATCTAGCACAGTTTCCCCCAGCCATCAGAGCTCGGACAGTGCTGGGTGACACAGACACACAGAGGAGACAGGACCTTAAAGCACACTGGACATTCAATCAGAGCCTTACTTGGAAAAAAGACTCACTGCAAAATGAAGGGTCAAAGCCCTCCTTAAGAATGGCAGCTTCTTCGGGTACAGAGATGATGGCAGGTAAACCCTGCTAGCCTCTACAGCTATATTTCCATTTTATTTTCCAGATAGTGCTTAGCCACGTGACTTGATGCCGCCATAAAC